TTCTTCAAAATAGACTCGCCCAGGCCGAAAACCAACTTCTGCGCATGGGCCACAAAGTTTCAATCGCACTGTACGTGCGAGCCCACACGTGGTATTTTGTGGAAGAGCCACACTCAAGGGGCCAAAGAGCAGCATGTGGCTCGCGAGCCGCGGTTTGCCAACCACTGCGTTAGGGAATTAGGTGGATGGGCGCTGCTACCCGTGACCTGGGAGAAAGGACTTCTCCTGGACGGGGCTTCAGGAAAGGGTGGGACTGGCAACCTCGATTCTTAGGCAACAGCGAAGCCAGAAGACTCCCGCCGGACCAGACGGACCAGACGCAGCCGCAGGCTGTCCACCTGCATAGGGCACGTGCCTCGTCTACACAAACACTGTGAGGTGGGTGATAATGGCCCCTGGCTTCCTGATGAAACAGCTGGTACCAGGAGGGGGCAGGGGCTTTCTCAACCTCCAATAGGGACAAAGCACAGCTCGGGTCTGAGTCGGGATCTTCCAGGCTCTGTCTCTGGCGACAGGAGTTTCCTGGGTGCTGTTGTCACCCTGGACTGTTCACCACACCCCCACCTCCTCGCGGATCACACACGAAAGGCTTCCATATGTTGTCGGGGACACACGCTGGAGTCCAGGGAGGGCGGTGTTCTCAGTGATTCGTGGACAAGGCCAAGTGCCGTAGAAATAATGTGTGGAGCCCTTTCTGATTTAAGTGCATCTATCTCATATCCTTGATGTCCAGCCAGAAAGAGAATTTAATAAGCACCTTGCTGGGTTTACTCAAAGATTACTCCGCAGAGATGCCTGTCGAGATATTCTTGTAAAATTAAATAACAATAGTTTCAATAGTCAAACAAATTTGGAAAATGTTGCCTATTACATTTTCTTCTTGGGAATTCTCAGTGCACATTCGTCCATTAAAATATCTGAGCCCTAGCTGGTTTGGCTCAGTGGCTAGATCATCGGCCAGTGGACTGAAGGGTCCTGGGTTCAACTCCACTTAAGGGCACATGACAGGGTTGTGGGCTCGATCTCCAGTAGGGGGCATGCAGGAGGCAGTCAATCAATGATTTGCTCTCATCATTGATGTTTCTATCTCTCTCTCCCTCTCCCTTCCTCTCTGAAATCAATAAAAATATATTTAAAAATATATATCTGAGAAGCCGCACAATAAAGAAACCCGTTACTGTTACACACCCCAGTACTTCCCCACATCGTTGACCGTAGGAAAACTGTGGGTGTAAAACATGGGTTAATGTTCTGTGAGCCGTGTTCAGTGGGGCACTCTTCGGAAAAGGCTGAGAACAACAGACTCATGTTTCTGACTGCGAAGCTGGAGGTAGAAGCACCCCCACTAAAGACCGTACATCCCAATACTGAGGGAGGAACTCAAACTCCTTCACTCTGAGCCCAGACTTGCCTGGTACCCAAAATACCCAAAACTTAACTGAAGGGCAATTAATTGTCTTGTGATGATCAACAAACGAGTTTGTGTCCAGCAATCTAAAAAGCCTCTATCACATTTTTACTTGTTTCCTAATACACAGTCATCCAGGTAAACAGGGTCTAAACACTGTCATCATTTTATTAAGAAGGAATAAAGGAGGCCATCTTCTCCAGAATGCCTTTCCCCCAGAAAAACATCACCACCTCATGTGCTACCAGATGCCCCTACAGCAAAATATTTGGAATTAAAATTGTTCCACATACTGACTAAAATAATAGCAAACATATGAGAGAGTAAACATAAGGAACGCATCAGAGGATGCACATAAATGCTTACAGTGGCCCTGGCCGGTGTGGCTCAGTCGGTTGAGCATCATCCTATGTACCTGAAAGGTTGCAGGTTCATGCCCGGTTTCAGACGCATCCCCAGTAGGGGGCATGTAGGAGGCAGATCGGTGTTTCACTCTCATGTAGATGTTTCTCTCTCTCTCTCTCTTTCTCTCTCTCTCCTCCCTTCTTCCCTCCCTCTTCCTTCCTCTCTAAAAATCAACAAAAATATATTTTTTAAAATGCTTACAGGAGGTGGTAACAAAAGGGAATGAAACGGGGCTGGCAGGGAATGCCAATGACCTTGAAATCTCACCCTCCGATAAAGGGGGACAGCCTCTTGCTCAGCTGAGCCTATGGCCATGCAGCTT